GCAATGTTGAAAGGCTGACTCTTAGGCGTGTTAGTACTTTATCTTGTTCTTAACTGGGGGAAATGATTTGCTTGTAAATGGATCAAATTGGGTTCAGAAGTTAGAATGACAATACAGACTCATTTGACAGAGTTGAAATGAGCTCTGACCAGTTTTATTTTGAAAACTTTCATAATCTCTATCTCAGAAAATAGCTGGAGAACACTTTAATTTTTCTCTGCATATTTCCATTAAATTACCTATGTACATAAAAAGCTAATACCTCTGACCTTTCTGTTTCAAAATCCAAGATAAAAAGCTGGATTACAGTCAAACGCCTTGTAATTTCTCTACTACTGAATAAATAAGTTAGTAGAAGTTTTGTCAATAGCAGATAAGCATGAATCAAGTACTTTTACACAACATAAAAATGGAACGCTCTAAATGGTTAAAGCTAGTTTTTTAGCAAGTAGATTCTTGTTCTCCCTCCTAGGTTTCTTGATGGTCATGATTTTTCTCCAGAAACTTTAAATTATACCTAGTTTACAGTCGTTAAAATCATGTATATTTATAGACTAAATATTACCATTTGCCTTAGAAGCCTGGGAATAGCACCAGATGCATATTAATCTATGGCTGTACACTAGCTACCCCTTTAATTGCTATCTTTGTGAATGAGAACAGCAAACAGCTGCTGATTTGCATTTTGAAAGTGATGTTCTTCTGAGACACGGATTTGTGCAAAATCGTATTCTAATTGGAATTGTTTTCACTGTCTCATATAGGGACAGTCTCTCCAGATTTCCAGCATCCCTGCCTGCTGTGGTGTTTGTTTGTTTGTTTCTGTTCTGTTTTTTGGTGGGTTTTTTTTGTTTTGTTTTTTGTTTCCTGTTTTACTACAATCATTTGAAGGCCTAAAATGAGTAGAACAAGCAACACTGAGCTTGAAAATGAAGGCCATCCAGATAAACAGTATGTTTCTTTGTGTACCAGGGATAACATTTGCTAAGTGTGAGGTGAAATATAATGACAGAACATATTTTCCTTTCCCTCTAGGACTCACTAATATCTGTAGTTACTTAAAATGAAAGACATGAATATGGCTGCATTCTAAGATTTCTAATTTCTTGGTGGTTTGAAAAAAACCTCCTTCCTGCTTTACCAAAACCTTTGTTATACCAAAGTAACGTTGCATAAAACAAGCCCTATTTGTATACCTTTATTGGTATTGCCCATCTTTGTTGTGTCTAAGAATATTTTCCCTTGAAAAGGTTATTCTGAAATCTTTTGATTGTCAAAGCTCTATGACATTTAAGTAATCAAATTATCAATTCTACCTTGTGTTATTTTTTATTATTATTGTGTAGCACTTGGCTGTTTCATTTCACAATTATCTGGGGACACTTTTGATGCCACTTAAAGTCTGATTGGATGTGGCAGAATAAATTAACTTAGGGTCTTTCTCAGAAGGAACCGCTGTGTCAGCAGCAACAACACCACAACCACTATGGCAAAACACAGTGCCCAGTTTCAAAATCAGCTCACAAAGGTACACGCAGCCCACTGTGGGTGGTCAGGAGTTTGCTCTGTGTGAGGATTAACTCCTTCCTTCCTCTGACCTGGCTAGAGCATTTAAGCCAGTTTGTATGGTAAGAGCCTCAGGCAGGAGTTGGGCAGGTGGGAGAGCCATACCATTCTTCTACAGAAATTGCTGGTACTGACACACCTTGGGCATTCAGAGGAGGTTGCCATTGGGGAACCTCTGTTTTAGGCATAATCTACTGGAATTCACGGGCTTAAACTCATCACCCCTGCAATAAAATCAGGCAAGCCACAAGGCAGAAAGCTGGAGGAGGTAGTCTGGAAAACGAAACAAGGAGTTGTTAAAGAAAACTCAAAACACTAACTTCTGGTTTGTTGGAAAACGCATTACTCCACCAAGAACCTGCTTCTCTGCTGCGTACAACAGGGCTAGCATCAGATTATTGCAAAACCAATCAAATTCTTACCCTCCCCTAGATAGTCACATTTGTATTTTAAATGGATTGACAGAGCACACCAAAGCTGCCATCAGCAAGATGGGATTGGGTTTTGGAGAGAGGAGTGTGTAAGTGTGGGGAAGAAGAGTGTGCAGTGGGCATTAGTGCTAGGATAGCTTTAATATTCAGAGTAGTTGGGTAGGATTTGGCAGTATTGTCTTCTGAAGGATAAGAAATTAGTCTCCTCCATGTCTGAAAACATTCTGGCCTGTAATCATTATCCCACAGGGCATTGTGAGTCCTGCCTTCATGTAGCTGCAGTATGTGCAGACTGACTGGCTCTTGAGGCCCAACAGACTGTATCTGTCATCCAAAGATTCTTCTGTCAGTGAAGAGCGAGTGTTTGGGAATATTCTGCTGCCTAGTCAGTGCTTTCATAGACCTTTTTTGAGTCCAAGCCTGTGTCACACGCCCTTCTGCCTGCTAGGTGCTGCAAACCTTAAGCTGTACAGACTTTTCTGCTCTGTCAGTAGTGGGTCACTGTTTGGAACAGATTCAGCTACAGAGGTGGGAGAGACCCTCCAAGCTGTATTTGAACAGTTAGAACAGTAGTATGTAAAAATCGTGCTGAACTGGTAAGATAGCACTTACTGAGGACATTCAATTGTAACTCTTAGTTAAAAGAGAAGACTGTCCTTTTTCTCCTGCTCATGTTTTGTATGGAAAGTTTATTCCAGTACTTGTCTTCTTGAATGTGTCCTGCATGTGAAACAGGTGGGTGGAAAGTGGGGTTGGCAGTCTGTCTGGGGTCTGAGGCCATAAAGAGGACCAACCTCAGTAGAGGAGGTTCTGGATTTCTCTATGTGGCAAGAACCTGCTGAGCTGCATGCATGAATATCTCATCTGTGGGTTACATGCAGGCTTCTTCAGACAGAGAAATCAGGATGTTCTGTATTTTGAAATGTTGGGTGGTCATCAACATTTAAATCTTTAGATGGATCTAACTGAATGAATGTAAACTGCTGGACCGAGCTGCAAATTGTAAATGAAGTGCAGTTATTCTTTCTCTCTTTTATTTACCTGCCACCACCTCACTGAACTGCAGAGGGGGTTTGAGAGAGTGACTTCCTTTGATTTCAGGACTCTGGTTCTGATGTTGCTTCCAGAAGGACAACGTAAATTCATGCCACCTTATAGTGGTAAATCAGCTGCTGCTTCTCAGTGAATGCCAGGATTGTGTCTGCTGCAGTGTGTGTCATCCACAACAGCAAGTATCTATTGCATTCAACTCATGGGGCTCAGCTGTGCCTTAAAGTCATGGTTTAGTTTTTAACAGCTGATCAGTGCACAGTTTCTACAGAATGAAATGACAGATGGGCTTGTAATACCTTTGTCTGGAGATAGAGAATGAGAAGGGCAACTTGGTTACTAATTACCTTCTCATCACTGAAAGGAAGAATGGCCCAATGCTTGACACACTGTGCATGGACGTGGCAAAATTAATGAACTTTTTTACCCTCAGCTGTCTAAGGAGTGAGCTTCAAACACCATTGTCTCCAGCATGACTGAGCTTTGAGTATGGCCATTTACATTCAATAGGGCAGCACAGAAACATCTTGGGTGTTCAGAAAACTAAAATGCACTTCTGCTGTCAGGCTGTTTCACGGCAAGAGTGTTGTGCTGCTGAGCAGCAGTCATTTCCATTGCTTCTTTTTATTACTGTGTTTACTCTGTGTGGGTCTGAGTATCAATTAAGTAACTTCCAGATGTATTGTTCAGATTCCTGATTTTTAACTGCTAGGGCTGCTCTTATGTAGAAAGAATATTCCTGATATGCAGCCGCCTAATGCATGAAATGCTGATCCTGTTCAGTATTATTGTTGCTATTTGTTATTTAGTTCTAGGGATGAGATTCTGACACATGCAAAAGTCCAGCCATGTGAGAAGTCTCAGTACTCGCAGGAAGTATGGAGCACCTGGAGCTGAACCAAGATGTCAGATGCGTGTCCTAATAATGGCTGTGTGAACCTTGTCTTTAAATGATGTCTAAATTTCGTTATAGTTAAGTGCTGATAAGATCCTTTGCATGAAAAGTCTTTATGAGATATTATCTATTACACATTTCATTTCAGGGTTTTTACAGAATGTTTCTCTATCATTTATGTTCTCTGACAGGCCTATTATTATTTTAACAATTCAATAAACAGATACATTAGATGCTGTAGAATAGTTTATCACTTAATCCTACACCTAGAGAAGCTTTTGGCTTGGAAGTGTCTGCAAAACTGATGACATTTATGAGCTCATACTCCAGATATCCCCACTAATTCTTGACATAATGGAAGATGATTACAGAAGTGGTAGAGGGAGAAATAGTAAACCAGCGTTTACTAATGCTGGTGTTTTACCAGCGTTGCTCACCTAGGTGTGAAAATAGGAGTCACTTGCAGTGCTACATTTGGAAAATACAATTGGGACACTGATAGGTAAGCTATCAGTGCAAGGGGAAACTGAAAGCTCAAGGAGGACAGATGCTGCTAATATTCAAGAAATCATCTTAGGCTGTTTTCATTATTTTGAAAGCTGGTGAAAAACTGATTTCAGCAATGCAGTCAATGTAGTGAGTATTCTGTAAGAAGTTTGATTTTTAAGACTGCCCTGGCAGCAGAGAAATGGCCAAACCTTAATTACAGCATTTTTGGTTTTTTTTCCCTTTTGTCTGGTTTGTTTTCAGCAAGGGTCTGGCCAGTTGCAGGGGTCCCATCTTCTTGTGGGTCTAATTCAGAGTTTCTGGGCTGTATGTCTGAAGAACATCATTTAGGTATCTCATGAGCACATAAGCTCGTGAACCTAATACTGCCAATAAAAAAAATGTTGTTGTAATCTGAGCCTTTTTTTTCTTTCAAAAACAGCTTCCTTGCAGGCATATTTCACTGCCTACTTTTTGTTACTTTCAACCTTTTCAGTTCTTTAGTTATCTTTGCTGATTCATTTCTTTTCCTCCAGCTTCTCTGTTTCAGCCTCACATCCAAAGCTCTGCTCCTATCCGTGTTGTGGCAAGGAGCGAGCTCCACCTTCTCCACAGCATTCAGAGATTTTCTTCATGGCTCTCCGCGTGAAGTCCACCTTCCCTCTCTCTTTCTTGAGAGCAGTGTACTCGTAGGCTTTGAGTTTGCTGTAATAGTCTGAGAACTTGTTGTAGAGGATGGAGATGGGCATGCCGTTCAGGATTATCCCAAAAGCAATGCACAGGAATGCAAACAGGCGGCCGAGGTGAGTTTCTGGACACATGTCTCCGTATCCCACAGTGGAGATGCTGACCTACGGGCAAACCAGCATTCAGCTTATTAGCAGGGAGGCTGCATACAGGCACTTATTTCCTCCGCACTTTTGTAGGTATGTGTAGGCAGTGAGCAGGGGCAATTCTGAAGTTGATGAGAACACACGTCCTCTGTGTCTAAATCTGGCATGCTTATAGAAACCAGTATTTTAGGAGTTACTGTGTAGGTTTTATTTTGAGTATTAATATTGATTATCATGTATATACAAGTATTACGTACAATGAAAAATATGTGAAAAGCTATTTGTGAAATGTATTTCTATAATGTGAGCACCACTGGAAGAAGTGATCCAGGAGAATGAAGCATATATATAATGATACAGTAGACTGAATCTTTGAATGATACGAGGAGCTATGGAAAAAAAGTGAAGATCTTACTCAATTGCCTAGAAGGCTGTGCACGCTTACAATATGTATGTATTTATAGTGATAAATTGCTTGATCTGCCTCATCCTTTTTATGTCAGAGGTTAAACCAGTGTAGTCTGTGCATACCTTCAGTGGGGAGTGTTCCTGTTTGTTTCAGTTTATGGGTATACAAAAAGCTTCTCCTGAATTCACCCCTTTGAAGAAGTTTAGGGAGTTGTTGAAAATGCTTCTGTTTGTGTGTGGGGGAGAGGGGGGAAGGGGTGTGGTGGTATTTAATGTATCTGTTTTATATGAATCTGTGAATTTTCCTTTCACATGTACTTCATAGAGGTTTTTTTGTATTTTTTTTCTGAGCCTTCAAGATTTTCTCTTTTTAGATTACGTATGTATGAAGAAGCTTTGATGTATGGGCCCAGCACTGTATCAAGTACTGAATTAAAATTTGTAAACTCTGTAAAATTTTGTTTTCAGAATTCCTGGATGTTAGTTTATGAGGATGTTACATAAAGAATGATGGACTACCAACCAGACAACATGAAATAACTCCTAAGTTTTATTATCCCACTTTACACATCTTGTGTTTTTATGGTGTTTACATTTAGTAAAAATAACTTGTTTTTCTTTGTCGGGTAAAACTCACAGGCTTCTGCAATGTGGCACTTCCTTGTATTATTCCTATTCAAGAGGTGTTTTTCAGCCAATGAACTTTATTTAATCTTCTTCTCAGTATCTAAAGAGAATGCATGTATCTACAAAATGGTGATATAAAACTTCTGTAGGAATATACCACCGGAAATAGGAGTTTCACTGTAATGCCCCTGTGGCTTTAGCTCTGAGTATAAGTCTTAAGAAGGTCATGGAGTGTAGTCTTCCATCTTCTAACATGCTAAATAAAATGTTATTTCAAATGAAGTAAGCATTAGGGTACATGAGACAGCACAGATAAGCGTATTTGTAGGATGCACCTTGTGCTTCCTGCAGAATAAAAAGGATTAGTCATTTGGTTTAATGGAAATTAAGTCACTGGATTTGAATGATAATACAGGATAAATATCTCCAAAAATAAATACTGAGATGAAGGCAAGATGTTTATCTCTAGCAGCCAGGACAAAACCATTATCCTGTGATAAGGTTCTGTTCCACTGGCACAGTCTTCTAATCACTGTGACAGTCTGGGAGGAACATTTGTTCTTTCCTGTGGGTCAGATTGCAGACGTTGTTGGATTTTGATGAAATTTGAGTAATCTGGATATCTCAGTTTTTATTCTTAATGAATTAATGGGCTCTAAAAAAAATGTTTTATGCCATAGAATTTCAGTGTGCAAGCTACAGCATCTCTTTTGGAGGCACTTGCTTTGCTAAATAGGAATTTCTTAAATAGTCATTGTTACATGGATTTCAGAGCAGTACTTAAATAATCATGGCATTATCAGCTTGCAGATGTGATCTCTCATGCTTTTTGCGTGTATCCTGCATATTCAGAAAATCACTGCAGACATATGGGGAATTTCCACATTTCATCAGCCACTGTTGAAACAGAACTGTTGGCCACAGTCTCCCCAGAGGCTGCCCAGGAAAGTGTTCTCAGACAGGTTGGTGTTGCTGTCCTGTGTGCCCTGTGCTGAGCTGATCATCCAGGATGAGGAGGTCTCCTGACTCCTCTGAAGTTTTTTTGCCTGGGCTTTTTTCCCTGGAAGGTGCCCAAGAGCCATGCCTTAAATGTGGATTATGCAGGATGGGATCAGTTGCCATGAGATGAAATATAGAAACTCTGCATATGGCAACAGGCTAAAACAAGTCGCAGAGTAGTGGAAAGCAAAGACACACCCAGCTCCCCTCTGACTTGATTCAGGCTGCTGTAGGCACAGCTGCTATGCCATAACAGAGCTGCTGTTTTCTCTCTCTTTTTTTTTTTTTTTTTTTTCAATATTGCTAGTTGTGACTGAGAGGGATTTTTTCCCCCTCTCCTCAGCGCCTGGGAAAAAAACACCATCTTTTCCCTGCCAAAACATTGCTGTAGAGATGATAATTGAAAAGCTGAGAAGCTGCCATACCTGAGCATGAAGATTATCTACTAAGCATTTACTCAAAGCCTGTGGCTCCCTTCCCAGCTTTCACTGTTAGCCCCAATAAACCCACAGGTGTTTCTTTTGTATTGGCAGCTCATCTTGAAGGATATAACTATCATTTTAATTGTCCATTACACTGAGAAAATAGGGTTAAACTGTTGTAAGTAAATGCACGGCCATCCTTGATGACAAACACTTCTGGGGTGAGTTTGGGAAGAAATGAGTTTGGGAGAATGGGAATCATTCTGCCATAGCCAGGAAACATCTAAGCAAAGGAGCGGGCATTAAGCTCTCACCGTTCTGTGTTCCTGGCTATAATTTAATGCCCCCACAAGATGTGAACTTACCTTAGCCTGGAAAACACTGCCTTAGAAACATTTCTCCATATAACACAGTGCATTGCAGGTCAGTGATAGTTCAGACCTCAAGGTGATGTGCTCAAATGTGCATCACCCCAGTGGCAGACTCTAGAAATGAGGTCATTCTGCCTTTCTTTCTGAGGCTTGCCAGCAGAAGCTCAGTCAGTTACCACCACCCCTACTGTTTTGAGAGGGACTACAATCACAGTCTTTCTGGCAGAGGCTGCAAAAAATATTCAGGATGACATTAACCAGCCATTAACCATCCCTCCCTGTTATGGGATGCAGACAGATGACCTAGATGTAGAGGGCAGTTTATCTCAGCTCCCTGAGCTATTCTGCTTATTTTGTATTTATTTCTCTGCAAGACTGGCATACATTAAATAATCACCAATGTGTCTATGTGTACAAACGTATCATGAAAATGGCACTTAAGGAGCAGGATGCAACAGCTGCTGGTTCTAATGAATTTTAATGGCCAGAGCTCTGGGATGGTTTAACTTTTCAAATGTGACTGTCCAGAGTACCATGAAAAACAAAAAACATGTCTTACCCTCTTGCAGTTACATGATGGATCACAGTATGTCTTCAAAAACCGCAGGCATGAAAGTCTCATGTCAACCTACAATCAGTTAGACTGATCTACACTGTTTGGTTTGTTTTGGTAACACTGACAACAGAATTTAGTGGAAAAATGCTTTTCTGTGTTATTTTGCACCCTTCTTTAAAAGGCAAGTACTGCCTGTGTTTGGTCAGATGGGAATGTCACTGCCGGCAGCCTGATTAAGTCCTGATTAAAGCTTACAACAGAGGTGAATGAGTGCATGCATGTGTGTGCGTGAGTGAGTGCATATGTCCTGTAAGCTCAGAATTCAGAGCAGATGTTCACTGATCTGGGTCTTTTGTTTTCAAGACTGTCAGCATCTCTATCATGGGAGGGGAGAGGAAGGAAGGATAGGGAAAGGAGGGAAGAGAGGGAAGAGGAAGGAAGGGGAAGATCTCTGGCTACCGAGCAAGGCGAGTTGAGTTTACTTACGGCAGCCCACCACCAAGCATGGGGGATGCTGGTGAAGTTGGTACTGGATACATCGTGCTCCACTGTGTAGACCATGGCAGAGAAGGCGAAGATGCCCATGGCAATGAAGAGCAAAAGGCAGCCCACCTGCTGGTAGCATTGGCGCAAGGTAAAGCCAAAGGCACGCAGCCCTGTGGAGTGGCGGGCCAGCTTGAGGATGCGGAAGATGCGCATGAGACGCATGATACGAAGCACTTGTCCCACTTTGCCCACCCGTCCCACCTTCTCGATATCATACTCATGCTGAGAGCCCCGACCTCGGGGCTGGTCATCATCAGTGAAGCATTCAAGCAACAGCTGCAGGTAGAGGGGCAGGATGGCAATGAGGTCTACAGCATTGAGGGCGCTGCTGGCAAAACGACGCAGGTCTGGTGTGGAGACCAAGCGTAGCAAGTACTCCAGCGTGAAGAACACGATGCACAGAGTCTCAATGTGCTCCAGGACAGGCCGACTCTCTCCACTCTTCTTGTCTACCTGCTGCATCTCCTCCACTGTATTGAGTGCCAGAGCCACCACAGAGATGAGCACGAAGAAGCTGGAGGCCACTGCCATCACTTTGGCAGTGACGGAGGAGAAGGGCTTCTCCATGAGGTTCCAGAGGCGCCAGCGCTGGGGCCCATAGTAGCGCATGTGATGGAAGAGCTGCTCATTCTCCTGAGCCTCTGCCTGGGAGCGCAGCTCACGCTGGACTTTCAGCTGCTCGCTCAGCTCGTCGCGACGCTCCTCAAAGCAGATGCGGCAGCAGCGGGGTGTGTATTTGAGCCGCACGCCCCAGTAGCTCAGCTCCTCCAAGAAGCTGCGTGGGCACAGCTCATCCCGCACCCGGAGCACCCCTGAAGCATAGAAGTTGTACACCAGCTGAAAGACAGCTGGGTCTCGGTCGAAGAAATACTCATCCACCTGGGCAGCGTAGTCATCACACAGGCCCAGCTGGCAGCGACGGTCTGTGGAAGTGGCCAGGCGGCCCAGGCGGGTCTTGGGATAGGTGGCCACTGCCTGGTAGGTGAGACGGTAGCTCTGGCCACCAACATTAATGTTCAGCACGGATGAAGTGGAAGGCCTGGCTGGGGCCCCAGGGGAAAAGACCGGGGAGAAAGGAATGGATGATGAGAGCTTGTTTTCTCCTTCAAATGGGTCCCCTGTTGGCCATTTTCCTTGGTCTTTTTCTTCTTCTTCCTCATCTTCATCATCCACGTAATAGTTGTAGTTTCCCTCCGGTCCAAGGAGCAGCATGGGCTGAGAGCTCAGTGGAGCAGTTCCAGAAAAATCACTCTGCTTGTCTAAACACACACCTTCATTATCCTTCCCCATGTTGGGCTGTGTGAAGACACTTGATACTTCCCTTTCTCTTCCTTTATGTTTAAGGAATGGAAATTGTCTCCTCATGTTAAACTGCAACATACTATTTCTCCTTGCTTTTCTCCCTTATTTTCATCCACTTGGTTGAGAAATTAGCATCAGTCCTTTCTGGCACTAATAGGACGGAGAGTACCACTTTCTTCTCTCTTTACTGGTATCAAACACAGCAGCAGTTCTGCATTTTTCCTCTTGCCAGTTGCCACTTCAGTTGCTATGAAAGCTGAGTGTGGGATATAGACACATGAAGACTGCTGTTGACCGTTTTAATCTTGCTGACAGGGAAGATTTGAGTGCTTAGAGAAGGGGATTTAAAGGCTATTATCCTGTTTCAGCCTCATCTCCCTCAGGCTGTGACGTGAATGATTATGGATCCATAAACATATGAAAATTCAGTATGGTAAAAAAAAATCCTAAAAGTCTATTGATAATAAAAAACATATATTTCCTTAATTCAAGATTATAAGGATTAAGAATAATCTGAAAGTGAAAATATCTGAGGAGCAGAGAGGAGAGGGAGGGAACACTACTCCTTTCATTCATCTACATGAGTATATGGGGGTCTTAGTTCTCCTTAATTAAAATTATGAATAATTAAAATGCAGATATTGTGTGGAAATTCATTATCAAAGGTCTTAAAGTGCTTTCCAAAGGTAAGAAAATAAATACAAACAGACTGTGTCCCATGCTCTTCTTGACACAGCGTAAGTAAAGGAGAACATGTGCATAAGTTTCTAGCATGCTTTGCTTCAAACTCTTCTTGAGATGCTGCAAAACAGAGCAAAATTTCTACCTTTGGCAGCACCCTCACTGGTACAGAAGGCTGCAGTGAATGCCTGGAGCACCTGAAAGCCCAATTTTTTTTCTGTTGCTTCTAAGTCAGGACAAATTCTTGTTGAATCTTGAGCTATCGTGTTAAACATCCCAGCAATCCTGCAACAGCAGCTTTATTAAAACATTGGCAAATTTGAAAACTAGCCTGAGGCGCCAAGAATAAAGGGAGGTATCCTGGTTTCAGCCCTTGCTCCTTAAACATTTATGCCTTTTCCCAAGTATCTCAATGCAAAAACAATCTCTCAGTCTCATAGCATGACATTCAAGTTTCTGTTAAACATTTTTTTCATCTTTGGCCATGTTACCTTTGTGTTTCTTTCTGCTCAGTGTCACAGCTTCACCATGCCCGGCTTCCCTGTCAGTAAGGGGCCTAACAGCAGCTAGTTCTAGGTGGGTTTCCCATGCTGATGACTGCTTTTCAAAAAGGCAGGTAGGCCTGGACTGAACCAACACTGTGATGTGGTCCGCAGCACTGCTATGTCAGACCACTGCCAATAGCATGAACCTTTGTCTTTGCACCTGGGGCAGACATAACCAGGGCAAATTTGAATGCTCATCTTCAGGCCCTGGAGGAAGGTGTGATCTGGAAATGGACCAGCTGCTGCAATTCAGAGATTTCTCAAACATAGGCAGCAGGTACTCCAAGAAGCTGTTCTAGTCTGATGTGGCTGAGTTCTGCCCCAGCTTGAGATCTTACACATGCTGCAAAGTGATGCTGTTGGAAAAAGCCATAAAGTGAGAGTTTTGAGGCTTATTAATTTGACTGATATAACTGGAAAAAAAGATGAGCTGTTTTCAAGCAAGTGTATCTTCAGGGTCTGATTTTGTCAGCTGTTGAGCAGAAAGTGTTACTTCTGCCATATCTCACCTCATTAATATCCTTAGTGGTACTGTAGCCATGAAAGTCTGCCCCTTGGACGTGATGCATGTACATGGCTTGCCTTGTGTAAAAGCAAGTGTTGCACAGTGCCTGAACCTGTGTATTGCTAAGAGCTTTCCATCTGCAGTCCTTTAGCCTTTCTTCTCTCACAGCTTCTGACCCTTTTTCACATGCTGTCAGGACATTCTATCCCTGCTCACCTGTGGCAATATTTTTCCTTTGTTGTTCTCCACTCCTGCTGTTGTGTTGTTAATCTCAAGTATTTTCCTGCAAACTCCAGTAATTTTGTTTTGGTGGTATTTTATTTACTGTAAGACCTAAACTTTTTCCCCTTTTTCTCTGCCTCCTGGTTGTAGCTTTAATGTTTACTTGGTCCTGATGAGCAGAAAGATATAATAGCTGAGAATTTTTGCACTGCATCTGTTCTCAGACTGTATCCTGATGGATCAGTGGATCATAGTGCATAGACCAAGGCTTCTTCAGGTTACACTGTTTAAGGCATGCATTATTAGCAGTTCATATTCAAGTGTGTTTGGAAATGTTTTGCTTCATAAGTTCTTCTCCACTGTCCGTTCTGTTTCTTCATTCAAAAAAATGTAACGCTTATACTAATTAGAAATGCCAGTGCCTTATTATTACAGGCTCTCATCTGCTCTGCAGTTTTCTTTGAACATTAAAACATGTCATGGTTAGTCCTTTGTTACCAGTCTTAATACAAATTAATGAACATTTCAGTGCTGTTTCTTTCGCCTTAGCAAATTACTTCAGGCATAAGAAAAACACTAATTGGAAATACTGTCATTTCACTACCAAAAATTCTTGAATATTTCTTAATTAAGATTCAGGTGAGAGTATGTTAATACTGCTTTTCCCAGCCTTTGCTGTAACATTTTGTTTTGCTTTTTGCTGGTCTGCACAGTCCCAGTTCTGAGAGGTCTATGGAAATGCTCACTGCTCACTACTAGTACTGTACTGCAGCAGCATCAGCCTCTAGCAGGTGGAACTGATGTCTGTCAGATGCTAAAACTTTGTGACATTCCTACTAAGGAGAACAAGAAAGGCCACTAGCAAGCTAATGACTCTAACCTAGATATTCTTGGGAGGGAAATTCTCAGACACCTGAGGGTCTCTGCTTGAACTTGCCCAAATAGAAAAAACAGGTAAAATAAGGTTTCGCAGTCACTCATCCCCAGTCTAGTTAGTTAGGACATTTTTCCCCCTTCATTTTTCTTCCTTGGCTACCTTATTTGTTTTGTAGGTGGGATGCAGAGCAGCAAATTAGGAAACATAAAGTAGAAGGATCAGCTGCTATTTTTTATATTGCATATTGCCAGGCTTCTACTACTCACAGTCGCTTGTAGTGGCTCATTCATAAATATTAATGTCTCCTCATACACAGGCAGTTGGTGCCAGCCCTGCAGTGAACACAAAAAAAAACTTTAACAAGCAGACAACAGCATCAACAAGAACAAATTTTACTCACTGCTTGTGAATGAATATCAGCTCTATGTAGGGAAGATGGAAATACCATGGAAGCAGAGGCCACACTGTGATGCTCACATACCACCAAGTGGTTTCAGGTGGTGTTAGGCCTTTATAGTGTATTGCCAAAAAGAGAAAACTGTAGGTGAAACTCTGCAATGAGGAAGGACTATCACTACACAGCCATTGGAGGCAGCACTGTGATCCTTAGTGATGCGCCAACAGTGAGGTTTCTGTTACAATGTGATATGATATGTACAAGTGCCAAAGCCTCGGGACAGCCATTTCTCCTGATTTATGTGCTCTCACACAGCATCAGTAGAAATGCTGATCCATTATGTAGAATTTACTGAAATCAGCTAGCAACTGGAGAATGTCAGTTCATGCACTTTGCATTCAAGAGGACCACTCAGACTTGGAAGGTTCCAAAGGAACTTGGTTCTGGAAGTATTTTTCAGGAATTTGGACAGCCTTCTCCAAGTTCCTTCCTTCCTTTAACAAATATGCCCATTCCAATAGCTTTGTTCTTAGTTTCTTCTTCTCCTTTCCTAGATGGCCCCTCCTGAGCCTTTCCTCTCCCAACACTCCAAGTGATTTCCAAGTGGTAGCATGCTAGCACAGCTCAGTCATCTTTTGAACCTCTGCTTGCAGCTTTGCACCTGCATTTTTCTCGCATGCAGGTCTCATGCTGCATCCCAAATCTGAAAATACATCCTGGGATCTGCCAGGTCTGTGGGGAAGGAAGGAGGTCCTCCTCAGTACAGGCACATCCAGCTTCACACCTGAGCTTGAGCACTGTCTTTGAGGGAGGAGGAGGCAATACCATATGAGTTGGACTGATTTTTAAGTTCATAACCTATAATGGATTTCATAAGAGTTTGCCACTGCAAAATTCTGTCTCTCTGTCAGACTGGGACTGTGGCCGGACTGCCTCTGTTCTCCGGTGTTTTATTCCGGGGCTGGACCTTACTTCCTTCTCTGCCCATGATGTACCTGCATCATATTCTCCTTGCCCAGTCTGTCCCCATGCTCCACAGCAGCAGGCCTTGGCACTGGCACTCTTCAGTCCTCACTCAGCCATGTACTTACCCCAGAGATGCTCTCGCCTGCAGAGCCCAGAGCTGGAGAGCCCACCTCTTGGGTCATGTTAAGGGAGTGCAGTGTGCTCAGTGAGTGTTTAGTTCACTGTGTGCTCTGCTTTTTAGCGTACAAATTGAAATGTTTTGCTGCAAAATTATTAGCATTTCTTTATAGATATGAAAGGCTGGTAAAAAACAAGCAAACTACTCCTGGGACTTTTTGATGAAATTAAATAACCTTGCAGTGGAAAAAGAGATTTTGCTGAGATACATCCATTAGTGCTAACTTCACATTCCAAGAGGTATTTGCATAACACAAGCAGAGTCTTGTAGTAAAACCTTATCTACAGTGTTGCATACCAAAGAACACAACAATTCAGGGGCAGAGAAAGATTTTGCTGCTTGGATTTTAGCCAGATTTTCTGCATGTATTTGTTTGTAAACACACATATTTATGCATATGTGTGAAAATCTGTCAACAAGATTGCTGTCCTTCTCACAACCATGTACCATTTGTAAATCACTTTAATAGAGTGAGTTTGTCAGGCATTTCATGAGTATGGGTTTGAGTGGTTTTAACAGGTTATTAGCTTAATCTTCTGTTCTGCTCTCTCCACACGCTGCACAGCACTGGCTTAAACTTTCTGAGTTCCTCTGCTCAGAGTAATGCAATGCCCAAA